TGTGTATATATATATATATATATATATATATATATGAAATTTAGAAATATATATTAAGAGGTAATTGAAATAACCAGAGAGAATATATTCATATTTTGATACATTTCTTAGAATTTATAAGTTTATATATTTGTATAATGATAATGAATCTTTAGTGAGGATTTACTTACCATGTACCTAGTTTTTATTGAGCACTCTTAAAGCTTCACCAACACTGGAACTTTATGACATAGATATTTTAATTATCGTATTGTATATATTAGAATATCAAAGATTTGTTTTATTTCCTTTGTATGATATTACAGTATGCATATTTCATTAGGCCTCCTTGAAATTTTGAGGTTGCTTCATTTCTTTAGTGTTAGAACACCCATTTGTGTAATTTGTGTGTATCCATGATTGCTTCTTTAGGACAGTTTACTTTGGCAGAATTTTTCTTAGAATTATCTTCTTAATAAATATTTCCTTCCTCTTAAAGGACAAGGAATAGTTTGAAAAGAACTGTCAGGGGTTAAATGGGCAAAGAAAAATAGTTTTTCAATGCTTTTGAAAGGAATTGCATTGTAAGCATGCCTTGAAATTTATTTAATCTCATAAAGATTCCAGAAGATGAACTTGTACCATTGCTGCAGTTATATTTCAAAGAAGAAAACTAAAAGCAAAAGAATTGATGGTACCAGTGAGAAAAACAAAGCTTTTCAGGGACAGAGACAGTTCACCCTAGACAGTCTGGCGTGTGTCCTTTCACCTCTAGTCCTGTGTCCTTGGTAGTTTCTAGGCAATGTCTACTCCTAAATTCATCTTAAATATTTAGATTTTTCACCACATAAAAATGTAACATGTTCATGGACAAACCTTTCTTCTTTGATACCTATTATTGCACGCATTGACATAGAAATGGGAAAAGCATGTGGGTAAACAGATAAGGTAGATTAAATTCTTAGATACAGAAAGTATTAAATGGCAAGAGCTACCTATTATCAGAGCTTAAGTTACCATTAGCAACGACCTTTAACATCCTCTAATTAGTTGTAAATCATACCTGGGTGGATATATAATAGAGGAATCCGTGGCCCACAAAAGAGCTATCATAGTGCCAAAGGAATAATTAAATATTTGGGATAATTCAACAAAGATAAAAGTAAAGTGCAATTATTTTTCTTTTCCAGAAGACAGAAAAGAAGACATTATTGAATAACCTTGTCTCCAGAACTCTTGTTAGGAAACATTACTTTGAAACAGAGTTACCCTTTGCTTGTTACCTCTAATCTAGAAATGCAATAAAATAACTTGATGCTATTATCAAAGCACAGATCTTGAATCTTCCTAGAGCCAAGCAGATAATTTCCTGTTATTATCGCTGTTAATAGAGACCAAAAGACATAACTATCAAAGTCTGAAGAAGCAATTGTTGAAAAAAATCAAAATTTGCATATATCATAGGTAATGTGAAAGTAGAAAACAGAACAGAAAATGTGTTTTGGGAATTGGAATGCTAACTGGGAAGATGAGATATGTACATTTGGAAAAAAATAACTGATTTCCTTGAATTGTCTGTTAAGTGAAAATAAATTGGGTTCTCCAAATTCAGAGGAGGGAGATTCACTATGGACTTGACTATAGTCAAAATTGCCTTTTCAGAGATGGAACTGAACACTACCCATTGCAGAAGGAAAAGGCAGAGGCATAGCACTTTACTAAGAGAAAATGGTACAGGATAATTCCAAAGGCACTTATATTTGACTAGGAAATACATTTTACTTGACTATGGAAAGGTCTGAGGGATGAAAATTTCCTTCTACTCAAAGTGATATGGAGACCAGTTCAGGTGAAAAGTAAGACCGTCACTTTTCTAAAGGACTCAGTTTGGGAATTAACTGTCATCTCTCCTCAGTGCCTTCTTTTATCCTTTCCTTTAAACTCATAACTGTTAAAGGCTGACAGAAACTCTGGATGGCAGAAAAGTTACCTACTCTGCTGCTGTGTATATGAGTAGTACTTGTAAATGAATGTAGAAAACATTAGTTAAATTATATCAGAATGTCAGCTGAAGTGTTAGGAAAGTAGCCACCCCACTATTTCAATGAGAACAAAAAATTATCAGATTATATATGATGAGTGAGTACTACATAATTTCAATCGTGTGGGAACTGACAAATACACAAACAAAACTACTATCTGACAATGGTGATACAACTGTATTAGATCAATTTTCATCCTCAGAAAACTTTAAATGACAAAACACGAAGTATCAATATAGAGGGTTGTGAGTGGACTCTACAAAGGCAGGTAGGTGTAGGGTCAACCAAGGATTTCAGTTAGGAGGCAGACAACCCTAAGCAGTTGTCCTGTGTGGTGACCACTGTATAATTTTAGAAACTATGTGAAAATTGATGGGCTTCTCAGTATTCTTTCGCTGTTGCTAGTTGTACTTCTTTCTTGGCATGAAAAAAGACAAAAATATTGTAAAGTCTTTGTGGCATGCATATATACAGCAGAAGGAGAGATTCCTTTATTGTGTGTTTTTTGTTTGTGTAGACCTGGAGGTGTATTGTGATGCCTAAACAGTCATCGAGTTGCTTGATCCTCACAAAAATCCTGTGATCAGTAATTTTCTCTAGTTTCTGTATAAAGAAGAAACCAGGAAGGTTTAGTGATTACACTGAGGTTACGCAGTGACCTTGAAATTAAGAGCATGGCTTGAAGTCATTTATTAGTCTCCTTTCTTTACACCTTACATTGTTGTTCACCAAAAGGTGCTTATTTCTTATGGCATCATATTTAGGAGCCTATAGCTTTTGCTACTCATCAATTCCTCTTGCTATGATAACCTAATAAGCTAAGTACTGGCATCATGGAAAGATGCTTACAAATAATTCATCAGTGAATTAATCAGGACTCTTGTGTTTAAATACAGAAATGTATATCCTGGCAAATAAGATAATGTATTAACTCACACAACTGGGAAATCCAAAAGGTATGCCTCAGATTCAGCTGTATCCTGCAGTTTGTATGCTGTTTCTCTATCTCTCAGCTGTGCTTTACTTCCTTCTCAGCCACACTCTTCATATTGCCACAACAATCCCCAAGCAGCTTCAGGCATACCTACTACTTACTGTTCTACACAGTTCCAGAAAGGAAGAGCAGTCACCTCTCTGTGGCCACAGTCTCTGAAAGAAGTGTGGTACCAGTTAGTTATGCTTACATCCCATAAATCTCTAGGAACCATCCCGCAATCGACCCCGGAGTTTGGTTCTGATCGATGAGCCCTGCTACTTAGCAGAAGAAGTTCCTACAGGAAAAAGATGCTAGGCTAAAAAGAAATATAAAGCATAACCAGATATTCTTTAGAAAAATAGATCGTGTGTGTGTGTGTGTGTTTAAAAATCAAGGTACGGTTTTTAAAAATAAAAGTTGAGGGAAACAGCAAATGTTACATATAAAATGGAGATATTAAAATTAATTTAAATATTAAATAAAATATTAGTACCATTTCTGTATCATTTGCTCTACAGCCAAGCATCACTCTAAACACTTTACATGTATGGATTCATTTAACCCACTCCACCCTTTGAGTAGATACCATTATTGTTTCTATTTTGGAGATAAAGTAATATAGTCACTGAGGGTGAGCCAGCTTGCGAATCCTGTCAGCTGGCCCCAAGGTAGATGCTCTTACCCACAACACTTACAGCTCTTTGATTACCCTTCTAATGGGTTTAGTCATCTTGCCACATTAATTTTTAAAGTGATTTCATTGACTCAGAGATAGAGAAGCAACACAAATAAAGAAATAAAGATTGGAACTGAAAGCTTAACCTTAGTGCCTTGGTGACCTTACTCAAGTTAACTTATTCTCTTGTCTCAGTTTCCTAACCTGGAATATGGTGATACTAATTACATTTATGTATATTTAATTATAGTTGATAGAACAATAAAGTTTTATATGTAATTACATGTAAGTACATCATATATGTGTAAGAGTGCATATCTAGAAACAAAATACTCCAGCATGAGTCATAGAACTGCAAACAGTCGCACAAAAGGAGCCTTGATCATCATGGAGAGAGTCTGGGATCATGTCGTTCATGATGCTGAGTGTTGAGTGCACCACCATGTTTCGTTTCATTGCTGTCACTATCTGGACAGCCATTATTATCACTATGTCCGTCACTGTTCCTCAGTAAATAGATACAGCTTCACAGTCATCTCTGGCTTCATCTCATTCTGGGTTAAGATTAGCACCCAGCACATTCTTGGTTCCTTGAAAGGGCTTGCACACTTATTTTAAAATATTCATGTGACTTGGCACTTTTATCTTATGCATAAGACAAACCACTGCAAGCAGCATTTTAGGTGACCATTTGAAACCAAGGAAAATTGCACCTTATCCAATTTCCCTGATTGGCTTTTACCAATGTGCCTCTTTCCT